TTCGTTCGAAAATAAAAATTTTAGAATTAAAAAATTTCAAAATTATCGAATTTTGGAAAATTAATTTTCTTCGGTTAGTAAGCGAACCCCGTCGAGAAACGCTAACTTAAAATTCGGGAATTAGTATTTTTGGATTGATAGTGGAGTCTATCGACTGGTTTATGTGGCAGGAAGAAAAAAAATGATCGCGTGGTCGAGCAAGGGTTAAAGAGCGAAAGGGCTAGAGAGCCAAGCGTTGAGCGTTACCTTAAACGACGGGAGTTCATTGAGGACGCCTAAGTACGCATACCAGCGCAACGAGCGTATGTGCCGATGCGTTACGGTCTCGGTCGTACATACGTAGGCTCTTCTATATGGCAGCACGTATGAATGAAACGACGGCGAACGAAGAAAGGAACGAAGGGAATCGCGTGACGGATTCACGTGTTCCGCGCCTATCGACCGAACCACGCACGTTCGCACCGCGCGTTCCCGGTTATGCGAATCCCATATGTACGCGAATGCGAACGCTTGTCTAACAGGTGCGCGTGAACGTTTCTCGATCGCTAGACGGGATAGCAAATTTCTTTCGGCTGAAAATTATTCATCGCGTTATCCAAAATTTTTGTATAAAGGGTGTCCGGTCAACCGTGGGAAAAATTTTAATGGGAGCTTCCAGGGGCCAAAATAAGACGAAAATCAAGAATATCAATTTTTCGTTTGTGGCTTCGTTAAAAAGTTATTAACAATTAAATTTCAAAATTTCAGATCGTTCTAAAAAAATTATTTTCAGTTGCGGGGATCAATTACAATCATTTTTGGTGAATAGACATACCCCCGAAATCCGGCGCATTTTCGAGTAAAAAATTCAGAACCGTCGGAACTTTAAATGTTTATAACTTTTTAACGAAGCTTCCATCAACAAATTGGTATTCTTGATTTTCGTCTTAGTTTGGCCTCTAGAATACCCCATTAAAATTTTTCCTCCGGGTGTTTTTAAAAAATTTTTAAGTCAGGATATCGTTCTTTCACTTTTCTTATCGAAATGTTTTGGAACCTATGCTATTGAAAATTTGGGTACTTTCACGTTCTTTGGAATGTATCGGCAGGTGCACAGGTAAGTTTGGGGTTACCAGATAAACCGCAACTTTCGTCGAACGTTCTTTAAATCGAGCCCTGTATTATATACTTTTCTTTCAACGTTCCGTAATGTAACTAGTTTTTGCATACCTAATTTTTCAGAACGCCTGTGTCGCTTTCTCGGGGACAGAGAGCGTTTGAAGTCGAAGCTGTGAGTCGAGACAATGGCGATTGGCCGTTCAAGGTCATCAAAGTCACCGACTTCTCCTGACCTCACTATCGTTTCTTACACTCTCGTAAATCTGCAGCTACATCGAAGCAAACCAAAATGTTAAATTTCATATTAAACGAGATTAATTTTACCTCAATATTGTACCAACAAACCTATAAGTGAAATATACTAGTAGTGCTAATAATATCCGTGACACTTTTGTAAGTTTATTTTAAACTGCATGGACCACTCTGTATATTAATTATTTATCCTCGTATATCGATACACCCTCCACGAGGCTCTGTTTCCGTTCGAACAAACGGGGGACCCCCATCCTATGGGTTTCCATCGAGCCGTTATCTCGCGAGCCTATCGCCGTATCTTAATCTGTTTGTACACAGAATACGATCTGGTGGATACAAGTGTCGCCGCGAGCCGAGCGGACGATCGTGTCGCGAACCGAGCGCGAGATGGCGCGCGGAAGCCGCGCAGAAAAAGGATGGAAAAGGAGGAACTACTAAAGCAGCGCGGCGGTAGAAGCGGGGCCGGAAGTGGTTCCATCTGGCTCCCCCGTTGGTCTGACCTGTTGAACCACCTCGTGACCGGAAGTATACCATACACCTACGGGCACCATGGTCGTCCCCCGTCCCTGCGGTGCACGCCACGAAAACAACAAAGGCTTCTTTCTGCCCCGTGACACCTTATCACTTCACGACTGCCTGTTTACTTGATTACGTGGACATGATTTTACCCCGGCGGCTCGGCCCTTTGTTCCTCCGTCCTATCATACCAACGTTTTCTTTCTGTTTCCAAGAACATTTCAAGCATAGTTTCCTTGGAATCGTAAGAAAAGAATACACAAGACATTAACCCTGTACGTCCTACTACGACTCGGATGCACAGATAAAAAAAATTCTTAGCTGGATAAATATATCGAGCACCATCAAATATAAATAACTTTCTGACTGATAAAAATTGTAATTGAAAATAATCGTAATTATGTATTGGTTGTATACGTATACATTTTCATTCTTGCCAGATTTGTTGTGTAAATAGTAACCTCGTTGAGAGGAACAATTTTACGGCGCAAACGTCGCTTCCGCGGCCCCGGTTCTGGAGACACCAATAGCCTCAGGCACTTTGCGGGACATGAACAGGCTGCAAGAGCTAAACGAAGGGGAGGAGAGAGGGAGAAATGCCGATTCGCGGCGGGGAACAATGGGGGGATGTCGATGCGTGCCCGAGACAGGTCCGGAGCATTATGTTCCGGGTACAAAGGCTCGCGGGAAGCAGTATGCGCGCCGTAATAATCTGTCACCCTGTACACAGCCGGGCTATACTTATGTGTTTTGCGCAGAGGGCCCGGTAAGTACGAAGTGGGGTGCAAACCCTATCAGGTTTTGCAACGGGTGACGTCAGACCGACCCAGGAGACTTACGTATTACGAGCTCGCTGAAAGAATCAGGAAGGGTGACGAGAGGAACGTCTGGCGACCGTGGACCCTAAGCTTTCAAAACTGCAAATCGCATACCGATCACGTGTCGCGCGGTTCCAACGAGAGATGCGTCCACGAGTCTCGAAGACGCGATACGGTTCCGAGAGAGCAAGCCGCCAAAATAATTTCCGTCGAGGTGCATAAACGGGAGACCAACCCCTCGCCATAATCAAATTAACGAGCGGTGGCCAGGCGTATCGCGAGTCGAGCAATCCAGGCCGGGTTCCAGCAACCCGTTCGCTCTCGACGTATCGCGGCGCGTAAGAAGCGTAATACGCTTAAAAAGAAGGGTATGACGTCACGAGGAGGTGGCACGCGGCGCGTGCCGTCGGATGGGGTACGAGTTATCGTGGCTCGTGGGACAGAGACAAGAGACAAGCAGGGGAGTGTAACCGGTGCAACGGTGGACGAGGGGAAGAAGCAGAAAAGCGGCAGAGGGGCGAGAGAGGAAGGGGGGAGGGGGGGAAGACAGGCGCCCCGAGGAGTCCTACGGCAGGCAAGCAGGCAGGCAAGAAGTCCGCACGAGTGGCTGGGGTGTCGTACAGGGGCTACGGTGGTGGGGGTGGACGCGTGCAGCCGGCCTGCAGCTGCCTCTTCGGCATCCCCTTCCCCACGTGCCCCCTCGTCGATGGTTCCCCGTGCCCCTCTGGAACTCCGCTCGTCGTGCCACCGGCGCAGCCGCTGCCCACCACCCCTCTGGTTCGGCAACCCCTCCCATCGGGGGCCCGGCGGGACCACAATTATAAGTAGGGGTGCTCCCGGCTTACTACCTCCAGTCGAGGGTTGCACTCCGTGGTGTAAACGCGCGGCACGTACACGTCGTTCCAATACATTAGAGTGCACGCGTGTATACACGCGAGAAACGATAAGAGAGAGACGGAGATAAGTTGGCAGCGTGTACTATAATATAAGATTCCCATTGCGCGGAGAGAGAAAGTAGCGGAGAGACCGGTGGCGCGCGCGTACGCACAGTCGACTCACTGAAGCCAGGAGTTCCTACGGCGCTCTAACGTGCACGCGAAACCAACCGTAGATCGGACTCGCCATCTGTCGATCGTGCTGGTAGTGTTACGCGAGGAGTCGATGTTACAGTGGTTGCCGGAGTTAACGCGGTGTGGCGCTAGTGTTGCCTGTTAGTGGCGCGGAAACGTTTCGAGGAGACAGCCTGCTCGTTGGCGGGAAAGAGAAAAAGGATACGAGAGTGCATCGAGGGAGGACTACAACAGGGCAGAGGAGCGAGACAAGCTGCTCTACGGTCGCGCACACACAAGGAACGGCGTGCACCTCCACAAGGAAATTACGGGCTCACGGCACCGGTACGCGGCCAAAAGGGCGCATCTCTGGATCCAGTAGTACCTCAGCTGCGGAGTGGTGCCTTTCGTGCCGGTTCTCTCGCGCGTAACTTCTCCTTCTTTCCCCCTACCCTTGGCCCTACGAAAACTTCCCCTCTTACGAGCCAGAGGCACATTGACTCTCCCGTTCGTCTTTGACTCGTCACACACGACGAGGGTATCCTCGCTCCACCTCCACCTTTGCCTCTCCGCCGCCACCCTTCTCTTACTCCTACTCTTTCTCCGCCACCACCACCGCCTCCTCTCCTTCTACTCTTGCCGGTCGCTGAGAGAATATTCCTCACGGTTCGCCGACGGCCAGTCAGTGCGCGACTCGTCGTTGTTGCGACGGTTGGCGAGGAGGAGAGAGTGTTGTATACGTGCCTTTACCGTGGAGAATTATGCTCGTGGCGAATCGTCGTGCTCCTCGTCAACGTAGTGGCTCGTGTGCCGCGAACGAACGCTCGACACGGGCGTAGTGAGAGATCATTGGGGAAATCACAGTTCGATACACTGACGACAATTATCGCAATATACACAACACGCGTACGACACAGCCGGAGAAACGAGAAAAGAAACAACAAATCAGGAGATATCAAAAGAATCATCCAACGACAGAGAAATAGACAGGCGTAGCCCCCCCGAAGGTTTTTTCGTAAATCCTACGCACGAAAGTATTACATCCCATCGGCGATCTAATCGTACCCTGGACGAAGCTGTTCTACGACTCTCAGCGTCCCACGGATAATGGAATAAAGTGTGTCACACAGTGTTCAGTGATCGCGCGTGATTTTCATATAATATTTCTCGCGATATCCGTGGAATACCTATTTGCCATCGTCGGATACACCAATTCAATTATTCTTCTATTATCAGTGTTACACAGTGCGACCAGACAGGAGTTGACCGTGGCAGCTCCTTCGACCGCGAGTTAGCGTTCGTTGTTTTCTTTGTTTTCCCTTTTTTTTTTACCATCTGTTCTCGCGCGAAAAGAAAAAGCCGGTCGGAGTTTCGCGCCGCGACTTCCAACGAGGATTAAATTGTACGTACGCTTCGTCTTCGGATCGAAAGAGGAGGATACGACGGTGCGTACACCTCGTATCTGGTACGGTGGCTATGCAGCCTCGCGAAATCACCGCGAGGAGGTAACGCCGACGAGCACACCAGGGCACCACGGTCCACACACCTCCGCCGACCGACTACCGGCGGCGTGTAAACATCGACACCGAACAACCACCAAACATGTGGACCAAGATGCTCGTGTGGACGGCCGCCGTCGTGCTTTTACCGGAACCCCGAGCGGTAAGCGCCGATTTTCATCACGTACCCTCGACCTTCGATCCGCTCCTCGGATCTAAAACAGGTTTTATCGGTCTTCTCGATAAACGTGATCACCGAACGATTTGGTTTATTTTGGAAACCGCGAAAGAAAAACGTTCCATCGCCGGTCGAAGGTGGGAAACGTTTTCTGTTTATTTTTAGTAGCGTTCGTCGAACGTGCGAACCCGCCTTTTCATTTCCAACGCGTCGAAATCTTTTATAACCGCCCCTTTGGCAAAGGATCTCGCGCTCAGACGTATCGCGTTGCCTCTCGTTTGTCGGTTTGCCCTGTCGCGCACCAGAGACGAGAAGAATCCTGTTGAACTTCAAACAGTCATTTGTATCAGAGAATTTTGTAAAAGTTCATCATCGATAATTGAAGTTATGTTTCTTCAAATAAATAAACAAAATGGATGTTTGTCTTTTGATTGTTACTCGACACTTTTTATCCACGCTAGAATTTCGCCCATTTCTGTTGTCTTCAATCTGTGATATATACAAGCGTAAAGTTGTGGATCCAACGATAACAATCCCGGGGATACGTTTCGGTTTACGTTCGCTGGGCCTTTCTTTCGACACCATTCAATTATCGCGATGGGTTTCACGATAGAGTCGATATCAAAATTTGATCCAAACGTTGGGTGAAAGAAAATATCAATGCGCGTCTATCTTTATTTCACGGTGGCGGAGGGGCTCAACGTCACCTCGCCGTTAAAAGTTAAAAAAAGAGTTCGACCAGTCGATAACAGGCGCGTAAGCGTGATCTATAGAGCCGATAAATTCCCAAAGCGGAAACGTGTCTGCACAGTCTCACCGAGGCCCGGGGCCACATAAACGATGAAAGGATTATTTTGTCAACGAACCTACGGGGATCGTGCGTTCTGTTGTCAAATCCCACGGATACGTTTGTCAACTTCGTGGCACCGTGGTCGACCTTCGGCCGAGCTGCCGATGAATGGCGCGATGTTTTGGTTCGGAATCCAAGACGTTCCCGTCTGTCAAACCGGTCGGTCGGGCCCGTAAGCTCTGTTGGTATTTATGGATAAAAACGATGACACTCCGGCGATGGCTGCGTTCAGAATAGAACCCCTAGCTCTATATATTTACCGTGCGTCTCTCTCCCTCGTGCGCGCGCATCTATCGCCGATACGTTTCCTCGCGTCTAATTAAATACTTGCGTAAGTGCGATCGCTGCTTGTCTTTCTTTCATTACCAATCACGCGTGTATCTGTCCCAATTACGAACGAGTTTTCTGCTCCCTCGTGTCAGCGTTCTATACCGTAATTTCCATCCACCTGCCGTGGACCAAATTTTCTAACCTTATTTATAAACGCTTTTCTTGATACCGTCAGCCTGTCATCGTTCGATGATGACAAAACGGTTATATTTAGAGGTTGGAATATCAGATTTTCAAACGGGTTGAAGTTTTCAAATGTTCGATCATTTACGCGTTATTCTTTAAATGAATGTTTCAATTATCGAATGAGCAGTCACGCGACGATATTTGAAACATTTTGAGGTTAGAATTAGAATGTTCGAAAATTTGACACACTGACTGGTTAGGATGATCATAGATGAACGACACTTTAAACTTACGTAAAATTGTTCAAATTCGTATTCGTACATATATGCTTTTTAACACTAGAAATATTGACAATTATAGTGTGTTTATTTGTACCAAAGAAATTGAAACGATAGATACGCGAAGAAATATATATGTAATGCAATGGAAATAAGTGTTTATATATTCTCTCATAGAAAATTGTAAATTTTCAAAAATTCAGTCGACCAAATTTTTTACAAGTTTTATTAGAAATTACGAATGGGTCATTTTGACTGGTTTAGAGGTTAGACTGTCGTTGTTTCCAACAGTTTGTAATTTTCCAAATCCTAACTTCATGGAAAGACTTTATCCGTCAAATTTAAAAAAAGTTCAGGACGCCTGTTTTACAACCTAATTCACAGTTTAACTTGAATAAATAATGAACGATACGATTTTAAAGAACGAATTACTGTTCGAGTGTCTGTTTGAATAAACGTTGCGATAAATCGTGCGTGGTTCTCATTCGCCATCTATCATTCTACTAAATTTCTGGCCATCCTCACTAGGAATGTATTTCAGGTTAGGTTTCAACAACAGCATTCGTATCTCACCGCTTACGCATTTGTGTATCTTAGTTTCCCTGAAATTTGTACGCATATTTGTTACCGTGCCTCGAACAATAATAACAATAACGGTATTTATTCAGCCTAACGCGATACATCGATGAGCGTGCGCGCGCCCGATCGAACGGCACGCTAGACGTAAGGGCGCTTTCCAATTTTAACGCTCGGCGCCGATCTCGCTGAACCGATTTCGTAAAATTCCGTCGAATGTAACGTCCTTTCGTGATTGCGTGCGTAGCTTTCGGTTCTTTTTCACTGACTCGCCCCGCGGGTTCCGAACGTATTCTTCCTGGGAGAGATGTTTTTTTCTCCGACTCTTCTCTCTCTCTCTCTCTCTATCTCTATCTCCGTCCCGCTCACGCCAGTCGTATATCGTTCTCGTTCGCGCCGAGCGGCCAGACTCCCGAGCCATCCGGCGAAAGAGGAGAAAAGGCAACAGTATTCGCCGCGTACAACTCTAAATCTGGATCCACTCTTTTAGAAGTGTCTAGCTCTTCTTCGTCTGCTCTCCTCGCTCGTTTGGCCCGTACCGACGATGGCGCCCTTCTAACTCTTGCGCCTCGACTTCTTTTCGTCCTTCGCGCGCAGGGCGAGGGGGGGAGGGGGGCGACACCGGTCGAGAAAATCGCCGGAGAGAGAATATACGAAACTCTTTGTTTCCTCGTATCGCGGTGTATCGCGACGCGAGACGCTCGGAAGAAGTACCGAAAGGGTGCGCCTGAAAATTGTTTTGTGACGAAATAACGCCGGTTGTTGTATCCGTAAATAGTCGGCGGCGGCCATTCCCGTTCCGAGAATAGCGCTCCAGCGCGCCAAAAATGAGAATTCCTCATCGAGGACCGAGCACGCGCGCACTTGTCTGTATACATACGCACCTCCGGGAGCCTTTTGCCTCTTCTACGTGAGGTAATGAGAATTGCTCGGTCAGGGGAATATATATACATATATATACTATGTATTTTTCGTTCGATTGTATATTTTTCTCTCTCGGAACCTTACGGCTCATAAAGCTGCCTCGTTTATTGCCGCCTGCAAAACTGACGCCGGTCGTTTTACGAAACTCTGTATGGGAACGGTGCACGAAAAGTTTCTCGAACGTCATAACTGATTTTGATGTAAAATTGTTTGGACTCGAGGTGGCTGGATATGCACGATTCGAAATAAAACTATTAAAGTTCGAATCTAAATTTCAGTTATTATAGGTGTACAGGGTGTTCGGCTAACCGTGGGAAAAATTTTAATGGGGTATTCTAGAGGCCAAAATATGACGAAAATCAAGAATACTAATTTGTTGATGGTGGCTCCGTTAAAAAGTTATTAATGTTTAAAGTTCCATCCGTACTGAATTTTTATCTGGAAAATGCGCAAGATTTCGGGGGTAGGTCTATTGACCAAAAATTATTGTAATCAACCCTTGCAACCGAAAATAATTTTTCCAGAACGATTTGAAATTTTTTAAATTTGTCGAAAAATTTACCACCTCGAATTTTTTTCTAGAAAATGAGTAGGAATTCGGGGGTATGTGTAATGACCAAAAATGATTGTAATTGACCCCATCAACCGAAAATAATTTTTCCAGAACAATTTGAAATTTGTTAATTTAATTGTTAATAACTTTTTAACGAAGTCTCTATCAACAAATTGGTATTCTTCATTTTCGTCTTATTTTGGCATCCATAATCTTCCATTAAAATTTTTCCCACGGTTGGCCGAACACCCCGTATAAACATTTTATTTCGATTTATTTTAGTCCTGTTGTTAAAGATAGAAATAAATAGATATTATATATCGTTTTTAAATAGAATCGAATGCATAAAATCTGCGGTCTAATTATAGCCCCATAGGAGCTTTTACATAAAATCGTATCAAATTGTAATTGTAATTCGATGCAATTTAAAAAAAAAAAAAAAAAAGAGGCGATGGTACGTCTAAAATTCCGAGTTGACAACGAGGGGTGTAATGGACGGTCTGAGTCGACCAGCGAGATCGTAAAACGATCCGCAGGCTCGATAGTAAGGTTAGTGCGCTCCTCTCGTTCACGTGAGACGATATATGTATAGTTTTGCTTGGCTATACAATGTCTCGTGGGAAGGCCTCGCTAGTCTGCTGCTGGCTGCGTGCCTGTGTGCACTTGCACAAGCGAGCGTATGCTTGCGCGTAGCCGTAGGCCATTGTCCACAGTGGTCAAGTACTCTTGGCCCGAACGTCGAGGGTAGGAACGAAGAAATATTGACGCAACGGCTCTGTTTACACTGGATACTGTCGCCGAAGAAAAACGGTCCCTCCCGATTCCTGTCGCCGAGACGACTAGGCGCGACTCGATCTTAAAATCTTCACGAAACTCGGACGATTCAACGGGGACCTTCGAGAGACATTGTAGAAGCGTTTCGACTCCTCGATGCATACAAAGTAATCAAGACGAGTGACATTTGTCTCGAGTTTTTGCGTTTCGTCTCACAAAACGTACATCCGTGTGTCATGAGTAGAATTGTATCCAAATAATAGATGGCGCGATGTCAAGAGTTGTAAAATTGAAATTCTAACCTCCAAATTTACCAGTTTCTATCGAAAGGCATCATACAGTATAGAAATATTGCATTTTAAATTTTCTAGCTAGCAACACGTCACTATTATCGTGCCAAGATTGAATATATATATAAAAAATATCAGTATCGTATGAAAAGAATAAAACTTGATACATCGAAAAATGAAAACCGAGGTATTCTGTTAATAACCTAACCTCGAAGAGGGAAAAAAATAATGTAAATCCGACCGGTATCGTAGTAATTGTCCTAAACGTAAAACATTCGTCCAGATAAGAATTTCGCCCGTGTCCGTCATGAATCACGGGCAGCAATTAGATTAAATTTTATGCCCGATAGAAAAAAACAGCCGACGAGAGACGTTCTCGACGCCTACCGTCGCGATTAATTCTTCGCGATGTTGGTTCGGCGCCCGAAGGAACCGGTAGCGTACGTTAATACATTTACGACTGGTTCCAGGGCTTTCTTTTTTCTCCCGTCGAAAACGCCCCTCGTGTTCCATGATCGTCGGTGCTCCGGCAGCACGCGTGGCGAAATGTCCATCTGCGCCTCTGTTTCCCCCCTTTGACACCCTCCCGTTCCCCCCGTCCCTCTCCCCGCCCCGTCCATGTCTTGGCGAGTGAAAAAAGTGCTTTTTGTCGGGTCACTCGCGCGGATATCTCTGCTCCTCCTGGGAGACGCGCAGTGCGAGACACGCGTGCGCAAAAACGCGCTTACACACGTGCTGCCCCGGCGGCGTGTTCGGTCGTTGAGCACGAGGCGACCCCCCGACGTTGGAGATCTGGCCAAGTTTGTCGCGATTACGCGTATTTCGCGAATATTCGTCGGTACCATCATTAAGAAACATCGACGAGAAACGGCCCATCGAACGCCAAAGAAAGAATGTAACAAGCAGACACACATCCTTCAGGAAAATTCGAATACACTTTTAGTGTTTGTTGCGGTAGTTGAACTTACTAGGTTAACCCCTTAAGTGCCGTAGCCGCGCCATATGGCGCGATCGTAGAATCACAAATGCGGAACGCGACCATATGCTTCGCGTCTTGTACACTTTTTAATAATTATCTTGCATATCTTGTCAAACGAAAAACGATTATCTCGGTGTTTTTGTGGTTATGTTGGCAAACTATGTGTAATCGATTTTCTTAGAAGGTTGATAAATACGCTTGGTCGGAGTTTGTCGTCTCGAATTATGTATGCAGCACGATGATTCAATAACGCGATAATTAAGTCGCAACAAATCCATAATGAGACGGAAGACCTTGCGTCGTGAAACATTCGTGTCCTTCTAAAACGTGTAACTGGAATATAAAATTAAATTAATTCCAAAAAGGGTCCGTGGCTGATTAAGTCATTGATTATTCTAAATATATTCCGATCGATGGGTTTTCTGATACGTTCGCGTTTCGAGCGACAGGTGCGTCGAGGGTCGCGTGTGTAACGAAACTGAGATACAGGAATCGTGTAGCGTTTAATCCGTCGAGCGCCGAGGGCGCTACTAGCGGTTGGCGTGTCAGCGCAGCATGTGCGATCAACGCCTGTGGGGCGTTCTAGGAATACATTAAACGAATTGAATTACGGGCTTCCCGCCCACGTCTATATCGAACTTCTCAGCCACCAAATCTGCTTTACCAATTATCGTTATCATTAATAATTATCGACAATTACTATATGAAAGTTACTTTAAATTACTTTAGGTTCTTTATTGAAATTCTATTAATATTAAACCGATGTAACCCATGAAAGACACAATATTATTCGAGTTTCTTTGAAACTAGATTTTTCTTGAAACGAACGTGCGTGAATGTTTTCAGATAAACGCCTCTGGGGTGTTCGAGTTGAGGCTGAAGTCGTTCGTGAACGAGTACGGAAAGGACAATCTGGGCAAGTGTTGCTCCGGCAGCACGTCCAAGACGGGCGAGTGCTCGGGCGTTTGCAAAACCAGGTTCAGGGTTTGCCTGAAACAATATCAGGTGAAGATCGACACGACGACGCCGTGCACGTACGGCGACGTCGTCACACCCGTTCTGGGCGAGAACATCGTCAATCTGAGCCCTAACGTCGCCATGCCGAGCTTCACCAATCCCATCAGGTTTCCATTCGAGTTCACGTGGCCGGTAAGTGTCATATTTCATATTTATATACAGTTATAAACGAGTCTGATTACGAATGTCTCGGAGACGAAACTTCAAATTCCTTGTCATCGACGTCAGTTGAAAAGTATTATAACTAACCGGATACGGTGACGGAAGTCGGCCATGTTCATGCCGCGCTGTGATTTGAAGGTTATGTTCGACGTTTCCCTACGTTTCCGAGATATTCGACTTGGATTTCGTTCGCATCATCGAACCGTTAGGTGGAAAAACGCGATAGCATGTTAATCGTGTTCAACCGTGACATAAATTAAACATTGTCACGTCGTGATTTATGACTACGAACGATAAAAAAATATGAAAAAAGAAAAAGAGCAGTTGCTGCGAGTACCGTGAAGCGGCGATCGCAGATAAGCGAAAAATCGCGATTCCTCGTCGTTTCCGTAGTTTTTTTTTTGCGATCTAGTGTCGATTACCATAACGTTGCGTGCGACGTGGGACGCGAAAAAATGGATTCGTGATGCTAACGTAAGCGGAACTCGACGGAGATACGCGCTCAAATGAATCGCGGAAAAACATCGATACGTTATGAATAACTACGGTCGCGATCTGTTCTCACGTTCATTTGCGAAACGTCGCCCGGGATTACGGGTTACGGGCGGCTGTTCCCGCCAATCTGGAACCAGGGATCTCTGATTCGTTTCGCGTGGGCGCGATAGTGTACAGTAGCGAAAAGTAACAAAGGGCAATTAGTGCGTTTGTAACAACGGAAATCAACGCGCAGTGGTGTCATACTCGAATAATTTAATAAAATACAATTATTATTCAAATACTATTCGAATATTATTTAAATATTTTATTCAGATATTTGCAGCGTGTATTCGAATACAAGCGGGATTGTAAAAATAGTCCCAGGCTTGGCGCAAGTATTTATATATTTTCTTTATTTAAATAATAAAGATCGAAAATTAATATTAGAATAGTAAAGTGTTCAAATAACGGTATTCAAATATACAGGGTGTGTTCCGACAACCGTGGGAAAAATTTTAATGGGAAATTCTTGAGGCCAAAATAAGACAAAAATTAAGAATATCAATTTGTTGATGGAGGCTTCGTTAAAAAGTTATTAACAATTAAATTCAAAAATTTCGAATCGTTCTGGAAAAATTATTTTCGGTTGCGAGGGTCAATTATAATCATTTTCGGTGAATAGATATACCACCGAAATCCTACCCAATTTCTAGAAAAAAATTCGAGAAGCTGTGAAATTTTTCGAGAAAATTAAAAAATTTCAAATTGTTCTAAAAAAATTATTTTAGGTTACAGGGGTCGATTAGAATCATTTTTGGTCATTACACTTGCCCCGGAATTCCTACGCATTTTCGAGAAAAAAAATTCCTTTACCGAAAAACTAATCAGCTGCCTGAATTTTTTGACGAAAAAAAAAATTTCAAATCGTTCTGAAAAAATTATTTTAGGTTGCGAGGGTCAATTATAATCATTTTCGGTGAATAGATATACCACCGAAATCCTACCCAATTTCGAGAAAAAAATTCAGAACTGGCAGAACTTTAAATGTTAATAACTCTTTAACGAAGGCTCAGACAAGAAATTGGTATTCTTGATTTTCAGCTTATTTTGGCCTCTAGAATGTCCCATTAAAATTTTTCCCTAGGTTGATTGAACACCCTGTATATAATATTGGAATAGCTACTTTGATATGCAGTTACCCGATTCTTGGTTATGTTGTCTCCTCGTTGGAAACGCGATCGTTGTCGCTGGAATAATGACCGCGAGCAAAGAAATTAAGATCTTCTGGTAGACTTAAGAAGGGTTGGTTGTCGTACCTGCGATCTTTCGTCTCGTATCTTTCCACATTCTTGGTCGAATCATCGCGGCACGAGCTAAATTGCGATCACGTTGACCGATTCTTTCTTAGCGACGAGTGGCGACACCCAAGCGTGCGACCGGCCGCCTGTCGGCGAAACTATTAACTTTTATCTTGCACGGTTACATCAGTGCGTTTCAAGGAGCTCGTAAAGATCTGTTTCGCATCGTTGTGCTTCCTGGTTTCCGTTACAATCGATAAGAAAAAAAATTGCAAAGTAAATTGGTCGATTAGGGTTACATCGTCGAAAGCGTATGTACACGGGTGCTTTAATTTCGTCGTTATCTCGGTCGGGAGGAAGTTCCGTAACTGTTCACCGACTGCTTCGATGAGGTAGATAGTCGCGAGGAAGTACGGTTTTGGTCTGTGGCATAAGCCCTGGGGTTACGCGTCGAAGTTTTTTTATTCAAATATTCCCACTCGATGATTCGAACATTTTAGTCTTTACAAGGGACCGTGCAAAAGTGGCTAATTGCGATCACGCGTTGTTTCTAAACTTAACCGAGCATTTTATGCAGTGCTCGAGTGTCTGGAGGTTCGTTGTATTTAAATATTGGAATAATATTCGCGTAGTGCCAGCCCCAGTTTGCCGTGCCAGGAAACGGGTATTCTTGCCGAATTCGCTACCAGATGGCTACCAGATAAGATCTGATTTCGCGATTCTAAGTCTAAGAGGGTTCCAGGTATAGAAAAAAAACGGTTTTAGCATAAGGCATGGCAATTTACATCGCAAAACGCGGAAATAATTATGAGAGCATTATTCTAAACGATATTATCTTTTTTTTTTTTTGCAAATTTTTACATTCAAATTCGTAAGAGGCGAGTAAGTGTATAAATACTTTTTAAATATTTACTTCCGAAAATTAAACCAGATAATCGTATTAACGGCGTAAATTTAAAACGTCGACGTCCAGCGCCAAAATTAGGCGCAGTTTTGCCGCTACCAGAGGAGCCAAGTATATAATGCCCGTGAAATACAATCGCGTAAAAATCTTACGGGGCGCTTACACTGCACCTGTCGATAAGTAACCGGTCCGGGTCCAGTAATTAATGAACAGAAGCGTAAAAAAGGGAATCGTTGGCACGAAAAATTTCAGCCTCTCCCGTCCTCGTCCGGCTTTCTCGCGATCGCGGCGAAAGAAAGGCAGGTCGATCGCATTAAAAGCGTGGCGCGTTTCGTGCACGCGCGGCCACTGGTGCGACGAGGACCGCCGAACGGAATGGCAGATGGTACGAAAGGCGAGATAAAAAGAAAGAGAGCGGTATATCATGGCACTTGCCTCTCCCTCCTGCTGTTGCTGTTATTGCTTGTTTGTTGTTGCATCCATAATTCTCTCGACGTCGACGAGACGGGAACATTTTTCTGCTCGCTCGTGTCGCGTTACATTGTAACGTTATTAGCGCGTAACACGAACGCTTGACCGATGGAGAAATAACCTCCAAAATTTGTACGATAAAAGGCATACGTTAAAGTGTACTGAAATAAATAAGAACCGCAAAAGGAATGCTTGACCGATGGGGAAATAACCTCCAAAATTTGTACGATAAAGTGTACCGAATAAATAAGAACCGTAAAACGTGCGACAGTAAATTTGATTCGATGGACAAACGTGCCTATTGCAGCGTCGGGGGCGCATTAGCGCGTCTACGCCAATGTTTGCTTACCATCCCTGGTGTACGTCAGTTCGCTCGTTGCTATTCCGCGCACTTCTGCCTATGAGACGCACTGCAGGGCCACTGGCAGATGGCTAGGCCTTTTGTGCTTCTACACTTCCCTCGTAATCTCTCTCTCGTTCGTTCTCGCTCGCTCTTATCGCTCCCCGTCCACGGCTTTCGAAGCTCTCTCACGAGCAGAGTTAAATTTACTAACCCATATGGCGCCCCTCGCGCCACCTCTGCGACCGTTCGCCGTCTCTCTTCAAAAACGCCACCGCTGTATTCCCTCGCCTCTCGTCCGGCGTCTCTAGTCCTCTAGCGATCTTTCGCTTCTTTTATTCCGGTCCCCGGGTTCCCGTAGATTTGTTTTTCCCCCGACGGTGATTTCTCTCGTCGTGATTCTTTTACGATTATACGTGAACACGTTCCGTGAGAGGTTATACGAATCGGCTACAAACAAAACCCACGTGACTGCATGCAGGGCTGTGTCGACAGAGGGCGTTCAAATACTAATATAATTTATGATTTGAATTTCTCGTTGTCGACAAACAGAGGCCAACCACGTTTTTCTTTTCGCTTATTTTGCAAGGATTTTTATCGAAAGTTCCGTTAATTATTTATCGTGGCTTTTCGGATCCGCGACAAATTTTGTTTACGTTTGATTGTATTTACTGTAGTTCGCTCGCCGAGTATCGGCCGATATTAGGGGCTATATCAGGCGAAAGAGCGTCGGTTTCGAAGGCAGGAACTCGCCGAATGAGGAGAAAAAAAAAACAGTCGCGTTCTCGGAAGAGAGGCTTGGTTGGAATCCTGCGCGGAGAAGCAACCTTTGAATCCAGCACGGTAGTCCCGTCTATGTTGGCGGCCGGCGTCCGGGGCAAAGGGAACAAGCGGCGGCGTCGTAACGTGTAATCGCTATTCGGAGTGCCGGATTTATTTTCGTTGCGCCGATGCGTGAGAATGAGCTTCCGTCGGGCGAAAAACGCGCGCCGGCTCGCGAGACCGAATAACGAGAAATGTCGCGCGGTGACTGACGGCGGATCGATCTGTCCGTACGAGACGACCGAAAGAACAGGAAACAAGAATTTAATGCTTTACAGCCCCACGGGTGTCCCTAAAATACGGAACATTTTAAATATTTTTTTTTTTTCTTCGTTCAAATTTATTTTGATCTTGATGGAAGCTTCGTATGTTTAGCATCCAAAAAATAAAATAGTAATAGTAATATGAATATTGCAAATGTTTGTAAAAGAAAAAATTGACGAGAAAAGGCACGATGATCGCATGGGAACCGACGTGTCGATACGAAACGGTCGAAAAAAATAACAAAAATTTATTTAAAATGCAACGTTCAGGCATGTTCGCACATTTGTCTCGCGTTAACGACGCTGGGATCTCCCACGGGCAAGCAAATCCTTCGAAGTCTGAAACGGCGGATCGACCGGTGCCGGAAACGCGTTAATTACTGGAATTATCGCGA